TTAGTATAAATTAATATAGTCATATAAAATAACTATATTCTATATTATTATAAATTCAAGTATTGAAGGTGTTGAAATGAATTCTCAATAGCATAATTAACATCTACTACAATCAATTCCAAATCTACACAAAGTCCTAACTTCTATTTTTCAGAAATGCTCAAGATACTTTTATCGATTTTGCAGTATATAAATTAAAGTTAGAGTAATAGAAATTCAAAAATAAAAAGAAAAAAAATGGGATGCTCTTTTTAAAAGAAGAAAGCTCTGGGTTAAAAAACACAGCTTTTTCGAACGGGAGCTGATATCTTGGATGAAGTAAAAGATGTAGATATACAAATCTTTGTTGTCATACTAGAATTATTAAGAAAGGAGCAAGGTAAAGATTGCATTGGATTTTTATCAGATATTGGGAATCAGAAATAAATAGAATTATAAATTTTATATTAAGTAGGGAATATTACCCAAGCTGATATATAATAGAAATTGTCTGTTATTAGAAATGACATGAAATAAATTACAAATTTATTAAAAAAATTAAAAAATCACGACTTCAATTACAAAGACTTTTCCTCTGAAGAAGATGAAGAATCAACATTAAGTTTAATTTAAAGCATAAAGGATAATAAAATGATCATTGAATTTTTGTAATTTTTAGTTCACCTTACAGCTATAGATAACACTTTGATATAATGTGGATCTAATTCATTATATATAATAGTTTAGATGAAGGTTGACCTTAGTAACAAAAATTTGGAAAATATTAGGATTTAAAATACTTCTTTGATGGGAGCTAATTTTGTTAGGTGTAATTTTAGTGGATCTTAATTTAATAATGTTAACATAAGTGAAATAAATTTGAATGGTGCTTAGATGTTCAATTGTAAATGGAAGAACATTAAGATCAATGAGTTGAATAAATTAGATGGTCATAGACATTATGTCTACTCAGTCTGTTTCTCTCCTGATGGAAATATATTAGCTTCTGGTAGTAGAGATAACTCTATCCGTCTATGGGATGTCAAAACAGGATAATAAAAAGCCAAATTAGATGGTCATAGTGATAGTGTTTGGTCAGTCTGTTTCTCTCCTGATGGAAATACATTAGCTTCTGGACATGATAATGGCACTGTCTTATTATGGGATACTAAAACAAGAAAAAAAAGAGCAAAATTAAATGGTCATAGTAACTATGTTATGTCAGTCTGTTTCTCTCCTGATGGAAATACATTAGCTTCTGGTAGTTATGATTAGTCTATCCGTTTATGGGATGCCAAAACAGGATAATAAAAAGCCAAATTAGTTGGTCATAGTGGTGGTATATTGTCAGTCTGTTTCTCTCCTGATGGAAATACATTAGCTTCTGGTAGTGATGATAAGTCTATCCTTTTATGGGATGCCAAAACAGGATAATAAAAAGCCAAATTAGTTGGTCATAGTGGTGGTATATTGTCAGTCTGTTTCTCTCCTGATGGAAATACATTAGCTTCTGGTAGTTATGATTAGTCTATCCGTCTATGGGATGCCAAAACAGGATAATAAAAAGCCAAATTAGTTGGTCATAGTGGTGGTATATTGTCAGTCTGTTTCTCTCCTGATGGAAATACATTAGCTTCTGGTAGTGATGATAAGTCTATCCGTCTATGGGATGTAAAAACAGGATAATAAAAAGCCAAATTAGATGGTCATACTCATTATGTCTACTCAGTCTGTTTCTCTTCTGATGGAAATATATTAGCTTCTGGTAGTAGAGATAACTCTATCCGTCTATGGGATGTCAAAACAGGATAATAAAAAGCCAAATTAGATGGTCATAGTGATGGTATAATGTCAGTCTGTTTTTCTCCTGATGGAAATACATTAGCTTCTGGTAGTGGTGATAAGTCTATTCGTCTATGGGATGTCAAAACAGGATAATAAAAAGCCAAATTAGATGGTCATTAATATGGTGTCTACTCAGTCTGTTTCTCTCCTGATGGAAATACATTAGCTTCTGGTAGTTGGGATT